CGGCGGGGGGCTGCTGGGTGGTGGCCGGCACCCTCACGACGACTATAGACGCGCTGAATTCCCCGGAGGTGTTGGTGGTGTCCCCTACAATGACTTCCATGTCCGAGAGCCACCCCCTACGTATACCAATGGCCGACAGCTTGGCGGTAATTACCAGTACGGCCACATTGACACCAATGACAACACCGCTCAGCTGGGCGGCAAGTACCGCTACGGCGAAATCCTCGAGTCTGACGGGAGCATCAGGGACCTCCGCCGCGGCGGCTACCAGAGTGCTGGCAGCGGGGCGCGAGGGCGATACAGGGCTGCCGTCGGTTCCCCAGCCGTGGGCAGGCTCCACCGGCGAGAGCTGCGACCTGGAGAAATCCCACTGGGTGTAGCCACTGGAGCGCTGGGCCCAGGGGGTCTGCTGGGCACTGGGGGCATGCTGGCGGCGGACGGCATCCTGTCGGGCCAAGGTGGCCTACTCGGCGGAGGCGGTCTCCTTGGTGATGGAGGACTTCTCGGAGGAGGGGGTGTCCTGGGCGTGCTTGGTGAAGGCGGCATCCTCAGCACCGTGCAAGGCATCACGGGGTAAGGAGGCACAGGCCCTCAGCATCGAGCCCCCACACCCGCACACAGGGCGACCCCCCGCAGCTGGGGTGGAGGAGGAAGGTCTTCAGAGCTCTGCCTTGGGCCTAGAGAGCAGGTCTTGGCATGAAACAGTCCTGAGTCTGAGACCAGCTCAACTTTTCTTACTTGTGTGTGACTTTGGGTCATCTGTTTCAGCTCCTTGAGTCTCCATTTCCTCATCTGTAGCAAGGTCGTAGTGACATAGCTCAAGAAGAGAAAACCGGAGGATTTAAAAGTGTACACACACATGTTCATTCCCTCTGTGCCCAGCCTCGTCTTCATAGTCACGATTGAATCTGACAGATGTTCAGAGTTTTCACTATGAGAGATGCTGCTGGCGTGGGACATGACCCAGTGGTTAGCGAAGAACTGACAGTCCCCTGTTCTCACGGTGCCTGCAGGCGAACAGGGCGTGTGGACGCTGATCAAGAAGGGTGAATAGCCTAGAATCCCAACAGTGGGAAGAAGGTCATGGAGAAACGAGGATGTGCGTAATGAGGCAGTCAGGGAAGCTTCCTGGAGGAAGAGGACCTTCCATTGAAATTGAAAGACTGTATAGGAGAGAACCAGGCAAAGAGGGGCAGGGGCAAGCGGAGGGAATGGCATCCTGACACACCAAAGAAATTCAAGGGAAATATAAAAAAATGCAGACGCTGGGATTATGGATTGTGCATTTTTTGCCTTTACCTTCTGTTCTCCGAGATCTGTCCATGAGCCTCAGGGGTCTTCAGAGTCAGGAGGAATGATGGGGAACAGAGAAGGGGGTGTGGGGGAGGGTGCGGCGGCTTTCCCACTTCTCCATCCCATGCAGGCTGCACATCGTGGAGCTGACCCTCCCCCGGGTGTCCGTGAGGCTCCTGCCTGGCGTGGGCGTCTACCTGAGCTTGTACACTCGCGTGGCCATCAACGGGAAGAGGTGTGTGCCCTCAGCCCGGAGGGGTCCCCATACCCTGAGGCTGGTCTTGGTGTCCACAATTCGGAGAATGGGGACCTGACACGTGGCCAACGCGTGGCTCACGTGCCTGGCCGCCAGGCCACCCGCCAGCAGGGAGAGCGGCTGAGCGCGGTGGCTGAGGTTCAAGTCCTGACTCTTTCAAGCTGCTTGGCCTTGGGCCAGGCCTCGTGTCTCTGAGCCTGGGTGTCTTCACTGGCGAGGGGATAATAAGACCGCCTCCTCTTCTGGGGGCCGCAGCCCAAGGGGAGGAAAGACACGCAAAAGGCCTCCCTGAACAGAGCCTGCCACACGTAGTGCTCATCGGAGGGCCCTGAAGCGGGGGCTTTGCATCTGCTTATCCCTGTGGGGTGAGAACTAGGCCACCGGGTGGTCATCTTGGAGGCTGGAGTGGATGCTGAGCCTCGGTTCCAGGCTTCAAAGCTCTCTCAGGCTGGGGCAGAGATCTGTCTACACGTGACGGAGGGGTCAGGGAGCACTTGTGGTCAGGGCTCGGGGGACGAGCAAGGGGCCCGGCAGGTGGCAGGAACACCACGGCCCAAAGCCTGAGGGGAGGAGCGGGTGGGCCTGTGAGGGCAGGCTCCCAATGGCTGGGGTGTGCCTCACCATCTCCCTGTGTCTTTGATCTCCCCAGTCTTATTGGTTTCCTGGACATCGCAGTGGAAGTGAACATCACGGCCAAGGTCCGGCTGACCATGGACCGCACGGGTTATCCGCGGCTGGTCATCGAGCGATGCGACACCCTTCTGGGGGGCATCAAAGTCAGGCTGCTGCGGGGGTGAGTCCCAGCCGGCAGCGGGGTGCCGGGTGATCGAGCTTGGCAGCCAACACGGGGCCACCCACCTACCCACGGGCATCGGACAGGCAGATCAGTGATGGCGTGGGAGTAGCAAGGGCTCAGCTGAACAGCCGCACTGTCACCTTGAGCCCTGGCCTGGCACATGCCTGACGGGCAGGCAGGGACTGTGCCTCCGAGTCCAGAGCGTATCGCTCCAGCACACAGCTCTGCTTTGAAAAGGCCTTGGTCCAATGGCAAAGAGCGTGCCTGGGCACATCTCGGCCCCACTGCCCCTTGTCGTGTGACTTTGGGTAACTCTGATGCTCACTCCAAGTTCCACTTTCTCTAGCGGCGAAATGGGAGTCATTCTTCTTCCTCTCCATCATGATTATCTGTTTTTAAGCCTTCCAATTTCTTCGTACACGTGAAGCAAACGTGACTGTAGATTCTCACACCGCCCCCTCCCCTCCTCCCGCCGAGCACGATTGGCACGTGCTGTAAACCCGCTTTGGGCTTGGCTTCTTCAGCACCTTCTGAGAGGTGGTTCTGCATCCAAATGCCAAGAGCGCCCTTGTGGCTTGACTTTCACAGCCGCCTGACACTCCAGTGTCTGGAGGGACTGTCGGCGACTGGCCCAGGCCTCCGCCGTCGGGCAGTTCGTTTCCCCTACCTTGCACCCCCACAGAGAAGGCTACGTTGCCGTGCAGGTCGATGTGTCTGTTGGGTACCTTCCCAGAAAGGGAAAGGCGTTTGTGGCCCAAGCAGGCATAGAGTCACGTCCAGCCATCTCCCACACAGACGCACACACGCAGGGCAGCACGCAGGCTCCACACACGAGTGTATTCTCAAGGGCCATATTGTCCGTGGGGACTTGGAACCGGGACAAGCTCCCTTAAGGCGAATCCACTTTCAATGGGGACCAAAATGCGTGATCCGCTTTGGGACAAACATTCCAGTGGGGACTTTATGTCAAGAAATGCTTTGCTTTGTCAAACTGGCGTGGCACTGGGTGGTAAGATGCCACCTTGGGAGGGGGACACAGGTGCGTGCAGCGGGGGGGCAGTTTCTCAAGGGGTCAGGAGTCAGTAGCCCTTTTGTGTTAGGACGATCATGCTGCCTCCACCTCCCCATCGCTGCAGGTCCTTGGAAATGAGCTCTTAGATGGCATGTCTATCAGTCCATCCACGTAGTTTGTCTACCAGTATTTTCCTCCTCAACTAACAGGTGGGGAGGATTAATTGATAGCTAGTGATGCACACTTTGTGTCCATATTTCTCTGGACCTCAGTCTCCTTGTCTGCAAAATGGATCACTTTTTCCAATTTTTTTAGCGCCAACAACCCGTCCTCTCTTGTGGACCACATGAGCACATTTTTTTGGCCAGTATTTCTCCTGCCCTCCCGTCCACAACCATTTATTGAGCCACCTACTGAGTCTGGTGATTCGATAAAGAAACACATTCATCTTCCCTTCGGGCAGATGATGCAAACTGCAGCAAACAGCCCAGTGGAGGTTGACTGGGGGAGGGAATGACTGTTGCAGTCGCAAATCAGAACAGCCTGGCCTGGGCCTGGCCCGCTGCAGTGCTCCAAAAGCGTTTGCACGTCGAACGAATAAACAAATGAATGGATGAATGCATGCATGCATCCATGAAAAGCCCAACAGTTTGCCTGGACAGCCTGTCCCTTCAGTCATTGTGGACGTATCTGTCCTTCCAATGTTCGGAACAAGTTTCCAGCACTCAGAGGTTCTCCCTGCGTGGAGCCTGGGCCGGGACCCCATGGGAACAGCCTCGCCCAGCGCCTGCCTGAATGCCGCAGCCTCATCCTGTCCCTGTCTCCTCAGGCTTCTCCCTAACCTCGTGGACAACTTGGTGAACCGAGTCCTGGCCAACATCCTCCCTGACTTGGTAAGAGCCTGTCCCAGGAAGGGGAGCCAGGAGCAGAGGCGCTCCCCAGACTGCAGGCCACGGCCCGGCCCCCATCCCTGCGGCCACCCAGAGGCAGGAGGGAGCCGGGGGGCTGAGCAGTGCTCTCGGGGTGTGGGGCGTGAAGGGATCAGGAGGGGACTGGAGAACCGCACAGTGCTGGCTCTGAACTGCTGCTTGGCCGCCCTGGTTGTGTGGCTAGTCACATACCCTCTCTGAGTCTGGGTTTTCTCTGCTGCAAGTGAGGGCCCTCTCCCAGAGATGTGGTGAGGGCGGTGCCAGGCACAGGATGGCACTCTGTAAAGGTCAGTGGTCACTGCTGTCACCACCATTCCCTCCCCGACCCCCTGCCATTCCTTCTCTGTAGCTCTGCCCCATTGTGGATGTGGTGCTGGGTCTTGTCAACGACCAGCTGGGACTCGTGGACTGTAAGTGTTTCCTGCTCTGCTTCACTGGGCCTGCAACACCTGCCGGTGTCTGTTCTGGCCCCTGCCACGTCTGGGAGAAGAGTCCCGTGCAGTGGGCCCTTGAGGCTTGGCACGGCCGATGCCATGGGGGAGATGCTGCTGGCCTTTCCTGTTTCCCCTCTGTGTCCCAGAGGGGAGTCATTCCCGCAGGAGTTGGGAGGCAGCCCTGCTGGGAGTCAGGAGGCTGGGTGAGCCCCGGCCTCACCTTGGCAGCCGTGTGGATGTGGAAAGTCTCCCAGGTTGCTCATCTCAGAAGCAGGGGTTGGCTCCATCTCATGGAGCGATGGAAGGACACGTAGGAGGACACACTGCAGAGACCAAACATGTCCTCAAGCCAGGCTTAGTGCCTCATCAGAGCCTGGCTTTCCGAGCAAACATTCCTGAACGCAAGGCTGCCCCAGACAGTTGTGCAGCTCGTACACCACACAACTCCAGGGCCTCCCTTTCACACTGACTGCGATGTGACAGCAGTCCTGGAGCTGTGCAGTGCACAGCCTTGGTGGCCATGCAAGGCATGCTGGTGTTCCCATTCCTCTGGAGCGCCAGGTGATTTGAGAACGGCCTCCCCAGGCAGGTAGGGAAGGGAAGAGGAAGGAAGAATCCGGAAGGTGGGCTGTTCACGGCGGGCAGTCAAGGCACTGTACCACACTGGGGAACCTCCGTGTCTTCCCTGGTCCACAGTGCTTCACAGTTGGCAGAGCACGTCAGCCACGGGATAGTACTATGCCCTCCCTCCAAGCGTAGCTAAGAGGTTACACTGAAGCCATTCACAGAGGAGGAAACTGAGGTCCAGAGAGGCGCGGTGACTCGCCTGAGGTTACGTGGCGAGGAAGGGGCAGAGCTGGGCTGCGGATCTAGAAACTTCCTTCTCCCACGGTGTCTGGAGCTGAGTGACACAGGGTCCCAGGAGGGACGAGGAGGGAAGGCTTCCAGATGGGGTGCCCCTGACCCCCGTCTTTTCCTGCAGCGCTGGTTCCTCTGGGGATTTTGGGAAGTGTCCAGTACACCTTCTCCAGCCTCCCACTGGTCACCGGGGAGTTTCTAGAGCTGGACCTCAACGTGAGTGCCTGGGCCCTTTGGCAAGGGGAGGGCGTCAGGGAGGCTTCCCAGGATGCCTGCCGCGTGGCTGGGAGCGACGCACACACAGGCCCCCTCCCTGCTTGGGTGAAGATCTCCGAGGAACTGGGTAGGAAACTGGATTAAGCCGACACGTGTCCTATGCTCACTGGGCCCGACACACGCCAGGTTGTCCTGCTGATCAACCGAGCCTGCCTTCACAGCAGCCATGTGAGGGAGGCACTTGGATCGAAGGACTAAGGCACAGAGAGGTTAAGCCACTTGCCCAAGGTCACACTGCTGATACATGTGAACCTGGGATTCGAACCCAGGTGCTTGAGATCCAGACCCTGGATATGCTGCTGTGAGCTTGGGTTGCTGGAGGAGGGAATCAGGCCAGTGGTGTGCCGGCAAGCCTTAAACAACTGGCTCGCCAAGATTTTGTTGAAAGTCCTGATTTATGCTGTTTGCCAGCGTCCATGGTCTAAACACTTCTCCCATGACCAACTTCCGATGACCAACATGACACCGGTGAATACAAAGCTGGGAGACATGTGGACTCAGAGCTGTGAGCGGTGTCACCGACCCCTGCCACCTGCCCCAGCGGCCTGCCCTGGCTCGACCCTGCTTGTGCACAGACGCACACGCACACCCATGTGCTCTCCTTCGGCTGCTTGAGCATGGGCCCCTCTCCATGCAACCCATCAGGTGCAAATGCAGGGCACACCCATGCACACTTAATACCTTCGTAAACACACATCCATTCCAGAGGGGCTTGACAGGCCTCTGCTGCACGCCAGGCTCCTGGTCAGGTGCCGGAGGCATAGTGGTTAACAGGACACAACGTCCACCCTGACGGAGATCGGGACGTTTTGGAGAGGCCAGGCCATAACCACTTGACAAGTATGCAATGGCAAATCACGAGCACTGTGATGGAGAGTCCTGGGCCTTTGGACTCGGGCTCTCTGCGGGGAGGCCCAGGAGCACTTCTTGGAGGAGGTGACACTTGAGCTGAGACCTGCCAAATGAGCAGGACATAACAAGGGCAGAGTGTGGGGAGGGAGCGTCCTGTGGGGAGGGAGCGTCCTGTGGGAAGGTCCCCTGGGGGAGTTGAGGAGGTGGGGACTGACCAGGCCCTGACGGCTGCACAAAGGGCGGGTGAGGGATTGGTGGCCTGGGGGAGGCTGGAGAGGCCCCTGGGGCAGCTCACACAGTGCTGTGCAGGCCACGAGAGGAGTCTGGTCTCTAGAGAGCAAATGTGCCAGACGCGCGGACATGTTAATTCATGTCGCCGGGCCGAGGTCAGGCAGCAGCTGTCATGCCGTGGCTGTGACTCTAGGTGACCACAGAGCAGGGACTAAAGAGGTTCCATTCCAACACAAACGTAAGAAGAGTCTGGGCCACACACAAAAGTCACTCAGATCCAGTGGCTTTCATCAGGGAAGGCTGCCTGGAGGCAGGTTCAGGGCCTTACTCAAGCCTTCAGCCTCTTCCCATCTTCTCCTTCATCCCTCCCCTGACCCCTGTCCTCTCCTCCCCCAGACTCTGGTTGGGGAAGCTGGAGGAAGCCTCATCGACTACCCCCTGGGTCGGCCAGCTCTGTCTCCCAAGCAGAAGATGCCAGAGTTGCCTCCCATGGGCGACAACACCAACTCCCAGCTGGCCATGTCGGCCAACTTCCTGGGCTCTCTACTGACCTTCCTCCAGGAGCGAGGTACCCTGGATCTTGATATCACCAACGGCCTGGTGAGTCATGGTCCCCGGGGATGGGCCACCCTGTTGGCCCTTCTCCATCCCCACAGCCTCGGGAACTTGATGTACAGTGAGGACTGTGGACAGCCCACCCCTCGACTCATCAGTCCCAGAAGGGTCTGGTGACGTCCTTGGCGATGCCAGCGTTTGCCAAAGTGCATGCTCAAGAGGGTCTCGGGTCGTCCACAGACATGATGCTCAGGAGGGCCTCGGGCTGTCCACAGACATGGCACAAAGATAGGAGAGGAACTTGTGCCTCAGGTCACAAGATGGGAGAGGTACTCCCTAGGCAGCTCTAGTTCATTTCATTTCAATTCTTTGAAAAGCATAACATGAATCACATATATGTATCTCAATATAAATAGTTATTTCATTTGATAAACACTTATACATATGCAACTAAAAGAAGCATAAGAAAAAAATGCTACCCTTAGGTTATGTTCCAGAGTCATTTTCTCTCCAAATATTTTCTTTTAAAAAATGCCAAGCCTTCAGAAAAATTGCAAAATAGTTCAATTAATGTCCATATAACTTTTACCTGATTTCACTAGCTGATACTTTGCCGCATTTGCTTAATATCTACCCATCCACCACTCTCTACTATCCACTTATCCATCCATCCATCCATCCATCCATCCATCCATCCATCCATCTATTCACCCATCCATTCACCCACCCTTCCATCTATACATCTGCCATCCAGTCTCCCATCCATCCATCCATACATACATACGTCCACCCACCCATCTAGCCTCCCAACCATCCATCTACTCATCCATCCATCCATCCATCCACCTACCCATTCAGCCTCCCATCCATCCACCCATCCATCCATTCATCCATCCATCCTCTTGTCCATCCATCCACCCATCCACTCACCCATTCAGCCTCTACTCCATCCACCCATCCATCCAGTCTTCCATCCATCCATTCATCCATCCATCCATCCATCCATCCATCCATCCATCCATCCATCCATCCACCTATGCACCCACCCATTCAGCCTCCCCTCCATTCAACCATCCAGTACCCCATCCATCCATCCATCCATCCACCCACCTATCCAGTCTCTCATCCATCCATCCACTCATTCAACCATCCATCCACCCATCCAGTCTTCCTTCCTTCCATCCATCCATCCATTCATTCATCCCCCATTCATGCATTCATCTAGCTTCTCATCCATTCATTCATCCATTTACCCAGCCATCCAGTCTCCTATATATTCAGTATCCCATCATCTATTTATCCACCCATCACCCACGCATCCATTCCCCCATCTATCTATCTATTCATCCATCCAACTACTTATCCATATAGCCATTCATTCAGCCATTCAGCATTCATTCATTCACCCACCCACCCATCCAGCCATTCATCCAACCATCCATTCTCTCTCTCTCTCTCTCTCTCTCATCCATCATCTATCCATCCTATCTGTTGTTAAACAATTTGGCTTTTTAGTGATATGACATTTTGCTCCATAACTTCACTCCTAAGAACAAGGTGTTTCCACAGATCCACCATGTAAATGATGTCAATCTTTGCTTCCATTAAGAGGAAAGTCTCAGTGCAGTGTCAGTATACAGTTAATCCTCTCTTGTACTTTTAAGTGTCCTCTTTTACCTAAAAGCCCTCCACAGACAATTATATCCATGTAGAAGGTAATGGCATTGTTTCATTTCCATTGCATTTGGTTTTGCAATTGTCATGTCCTTCTGTCAGGTGGTACCAGCTTTACATTTTTAGCATTTGAGGTCTTAAAAAGTAAGTCAATTTAAAGAAGACGTTAAATAAATAATAGTACAGATGGTTCAGGGACATGGCAAGAGCCATGACTTTTGTGGACATGGGGTTATGCAATGGACTCAAAGACTCGCCCTGTTTTCATACCGAATTATTAATCACTCCTGCCTGTTCCAATTGTCTCAGAGACTCACACGGCCCTTTTTCTCATCCTACAGTTTGAAGAGCTTCCCCCACTTACCACATCCACGCTGGGAGCTCTGATTCCCAAGGTATGTAAAGCCAGTTGGAAGGTAAGATGCTCAGTATGAGGGTGGATGCTCTAGCCTCACCCCTGCTTGGGAGTGCAAATTCTGTTTTATTTTATTTTTTTATTTTATTTTTATTTGAGGAGTCTCACTCTGTCGCCCAGACTGGAGTGCAGTGGCCGCTCCCGGCCACCACAGCCTCGACCTGCTGGGCTCCGGCGATCCTTCCGCCTCAGCCTTCCGAGTAGCTGGAAGTAGAGGCGCACGCTACCATGTCCGGCTCATTTTTTGATTTATTGTAGAGATGAGGTCTCGTTGCCCAGGTGGGTCTCGAACCCGCGGGCTCAGGCAATCCACTCACCTCAGCCTCCCAAAGGCGCGGGATTACAGGCTGAGCCACTGAGCCCGGCATTTAGCATATTTAAGAAGAGCATTCCTTGAAGTGAATTTTTGGGTATGTCAGTGCTGTTTTGGTAAGTGTGACAAACTGGTCATTTGTGAAGTGTCCCTTTAGTAAACAAGCTTTCAGGGAACCAGTCTGCCGCCAGCAGGATCCATCTGGCAGGTCTGGGCTGTTGGGCAGATGCGCCTTGCTCGGGGCCCCCCCGTGAGACTCCAGCCTGGAGGTGGTGGGAGGGGAGCACAGGGTCAACTTCGAGCCACATGGGCCCCGCTGGACCTCCCTCGACTGTTGGCCTTGGACAGTGTGCCCACAGCCCCCGAGCCCATCCTCCCAACTGACAATGGAGGGATTTGCAGCTCTGTCCAAGGCTAGTGGGACTCGGCGGTGCCGCTGGGCCAGAAGCTTCCCCGTGTGAGACTGTGCTGTGTCAACCTCGGGCACCCCGCCCCAGGGGCCCCGCCTACTTGCCTGTTGCCACCCACAGGTGTTCCAGCAGTACCCTGAGTCCCGGCCACTCACCATCAGCATCCAGGTGCCAAGGCCGCCAACTGTGACGCTGCAGAAGGACGAGGCGCTGGTGAAGGTGTTTGCCACGGCTGAGGTCATGGTCTTGCAGCCCAACAACGTAGAGACCACCATCTGCCTCATAGACGTGGTATGCAGCCCCCGGCTGAGCCTCAAGACGGAGCCACGTGGCTCCTGGAGCCCACAGACCCCCTCAGAGACCCAGAGCCCCCACCATCAGGACTGCAAGCCCAGGCTTGGGGCCGGAGGGTCTGGTTCAAAGGCAGCCTTTACCACTGTGGTCTCACCCCTTGTGCACTTGTGGTAGTCACACCCCTCTCTGGGCCTGATTTTCTTCTCAACCACCAGGGGACGCAGCAGGGCATGCCGAGGATGCTCGAGCACTCCCTGAAGCACTGTGATGGCTCCCAACGCACTGGCTGGTGTTGTTCTCACAGGTTGTTTGTCACAGTGTACGGCAGATCAGCCTTGGTCCTTCACACAGCAGTGTTTACTGAGCACCTACTGTGTGCTGTGCTGCCTACTAGACACTGGGGGAGAGGAGGCAAGACAGATAGTGTCTGCTCTCTTGTCCCCAGTACCTAGCTGTGGACAGATGCAAATACTACAACTTTTACAATTGTTTCATAGAAAGACATTTCTTGAAAGATGAATTACGTTACTCTCCTGCTTTCCTTCAGTCCTAGAATAAGAGCCAAACTCCTGACAGTGGCCTGACAGTGGCCCACAAAACCCTTCAAGGTCATCTACAGTCACCTGTCAGCTTCTCAGTGCTCCTCCCATGTGTCCTCAGGGCCTTTGCACATGCGGTCTGTCCCCTCTGCCTTGGATGCTCCTTCCCTGAGTATCTGCATGGCTCATTCCTTACTTCCTTTAGTTTCTGCTCAGACGTTGCCTCCTCAGAGAACCCTTCCCAGCTCACCGATCTAAAATGTCCCATCCCTTCCACCTTTTCCTCTGTTCCTCTCTCCCTTGCTTTACTTTACTTTGCTCATAGTTTTTTTGTTTGTTTGTTTTGAGTTGGAGTCCCACTCTGTCACCCAGGCTGGAGTGCAGTGACACGTTCACAGCCACTGCAGCTTCTAACTGCAGGGTTTGGGTGATCCTTCCACCTCAGCCATCCAAGTTGCTGGAACTACAGGCACGTGCTACCACGCCCAGCTAATTTTTTGATCTATTGTAGAGATGAAGTCTTGCCAAATTGCCCAGGATGGCCTCGAACCCCTGGACTCAGACAATCCTCTCACCTCAGCCTCCCAAAGTGCTGGGATCATAGGTGCGAGCCACAGCACCCAGCCTGCTGGTAGCTTTAACCTGACATTGCAACATGCTCTGTTTGTTAGTTTATTGTTGGGCAGAAACTTGAACTACCCTGTTTACTGCTGGATCCCAGAGTGTAGCACAGGACCCAGCATACAGTAGGTACTCAGTGAACACTGATCAAAGGAAGGCATTAAGCTATCTTAAGTGCCATTTCCCCCTCTGTGGTTAAGACGTCGAACTCAGGCACTTGTGACTGGCTACACCTGTGGTCTTCCTGGTCCCTCCTACTCCCAGGCTCAAGACCAAATGAGCCACCTCCAATCAGGGCGTGGGTGCTCCAGGCTGGAGCCTGCCAAGCCAGAGGTGCAGGGGTCCTTCTGGTGCACCTGAGAGGAGAGGCTCAAAGGGCTGAGTCTCACCCAGAAGTGGGACTGGCTGTCCCCAGTCCACACCCACTGAGCAGCCCCTTCTGGGTGGAGACTGTCCAGCACCCACCCAGGTGCTCACGTGAGCTGGCTCAGAAGCCTGCCGTGGCTCCCACTGTTCCAGGGATGCAGCCCCGCCCCTGCCCCAGCCCCAGCTCTGCCTGGCCTGGTCTGTTCTGCTCCAGCCTTGTGAACCCCCACCGCCTCGCTCTCTGCCTCCTCTCTGTCTCTAATGCAACCCCTGTCCTGCCTCAGAACCTCTGCACATGCCCTCCCACTGCCTGGATTATACCCTCTTTCTCCAAGTCCTACCTAGATTCAAGTCCTTCAGCCTAGATTTCAAACACCGTCCTCAGGATGGCTTCCCAGGCTGGCTGGGGTCCCTGCTGCATGCTCCCAGAGCCCCCTGTTCTCCATCATGTCAATCAGTGTGACACTGCTACTACGAATCACATCTCTTTACTTTTCTAATAAGTCAACTTTTAAATGTAATCAAATTCATTTTACTGGGGGAGGGGGTCAAGGGAGCAAAGAGAGCTTTCCCTACAACTGGGCTTCTGTGCGGAGAGAGGGAGGAGGCTGGTCCCCGTCTGGAAGATGGACGTGATGCCCCAGTGATGGTACCGGATTCGGTCATCTACGGCAGCAGTCCCCCACCTTTCTGGCATCGGAGGCCAGTTTTCTGGAAGATAATTTTTTCACGGATCGGGGGGAGTGGATGGGGATGGTTTGTGGATGATTCAAGTGCATTACATTTATTGTGCACTTTATTTCTGTTATTATTACATTGTAATATATGAGAAGTTGATGCCGCTGCTGATCTGACAGGAGGCAGAGCTCAAGCAGTCACGCGAGCGATGGGGAGCGGCTGTCATTACAGATGAAGCTTCCCTCACTCGCCCACTGCTCACCTCCTGTTGTGCAGCCAGGTTCCTAACAGGCTGTGGACTAGTACTGGTCCGTGGCCCAGCAGTTGGAGACCCCTGATCTAGAGCAAGTTTCACGGGCTACAGGCCACTCACTATACCTGTGAGGCATCACTGAGGGATTGGTAAACATCCCCTGCCCGTCACGGTGACCCTGTGACATTTGTCACTCACTCCTCACTGTGGCTCGCTTGTGAACAGCAGTTACTGCTGGCAGTTTGTATTCTGAGCTCCTTTTTCCTTGGGGGGAGGCCCACGGCCAGCGTCAGTGGGAGTCTCTGTGCATGAAAGAAAGCTCGCCCGGACCTCAGGAACAGCCCGCCATGAGTCTGTGCCTGGTGCGTGGAGAGCAACAGCCGAGCACAACGGTGGCGACATATGACAGCAGTGACACCTCATCCTCCTTCCTTCCCCCCTAGGACACGAACCTCTTGGCCTCATTTTCTGTGGAGGCAGATAAGCTCATGATTGACGCCAAACTGGACAAGTAAGAGGTTCTGCGGCTGGAGGGACCCGCTGGAGCTGGGGCTGCTCACACGGGAGCCCGGGGGTGGGGGTGCTGTGTGGCCATCAGGCTGGGTAAATCCAGGGCCGCAAAGGTGGAAACGGCCCAGGCCATGCAGGCAGGGAAGGCTTGAACTGAGTGGGGGAATCTACTGCCAACAACATCAATAATAATAACGATGTTGGTGGTGCCACCCATGTGTGACCTTGTTTCTCCTCTCAAGGTCCCAGGGGAAGTTGAAGCTGTCCTCCCGTTTTAAGAAGAAGAGAACTAGGGCTTAGAGCCAGGATTTGCTCACTCAGGGCCACGCAGCAGCAGCACAGAGGGCTGAGAGCCCGCCCAGGCTGCGGGACATGCTGGACTGAATGGCTTGCCTGTGGGCGTCAGAGATAGACAACACGGGCTCCCGTCCAGCCATGACCACTGATGGGCTGTGTGGCCTGGGCCTCATGACTTCACCTCCGTGCCTCAGTTTCTCCTCGGAGTCCCTATTTCACAGGACTCCTAAAACCAGCAACTATTTTATACTGAGGGCTCCCTAGGTGCATCTGCGTTTAAATCTTGACAGCAGCTATGGTGAGAAGTGGTGCTCTTATTCCCATCCCAAGTCTAAAGGAGATTATTCACAAAAGTGTTAGTGTGTGCCCAGGTCACTACAAGTTTTTCTCTTACAACCAATATTATGAAGCCCAACGATTGGCATTACTCATGAGGTACAAATCCAGGCCACCCGGGAGTCCCCAAGGAGGCGATATATGACCTGTAGCCTGGATGGGGCAGGGGCCACCGCACCACAAGCCAGGGTCTCCACAGAGGGAGCAGGGTACGGGCAGACTCCTTAGGTGTGACGAGCCCGGTGCCGGGGATACAGGGACTGAGGAGAGAGGCAGTGGGCATGGAAGGCAGCGTGTCTCTTCTGAGAAGAGGCCCTGCTTCTCTCTTGCTGGAGGCTGAGCTGGTCCTTCTGAACAGCCTGCAGTGACATGGGTGACAACCCATGGATGAGTCTGATCTAGCCTCTCTCAGGTAAGACAGCCGGTTTCAGGTGCCATTCTGATGCAGCAAGCCCGAGACCCACATGGTGTGGCATGAGACCTCGAACCCAGGCCTCGGGCATCCCTTCTCAGATGAGCACAGTGGCCACAAGTGCAGGCTCAAGGTGCAGGCCATGCTGCCCCTCCCCCATTCTGTGGCTGCAGCAGGTGACCTGGGGCCTCACGCTAATCCTGGATGGCCATGAGGACCACGCGGGCAGTGGTGACTACTCCTGTGTGCACAGAGTTGGCTGTATGGCAGGCACAGCTCTAGGGGCTTCACTTGAGCACCTCATTTGATCCTGGCAGCCACCCACTTTACAGATGAGGAAACTGAGGCACAGAGCATGAAGTACTTTGGCCAAGTCACACAGATAGCCAGTGGCGACACTCTGGTCCAGCCTTCCCTGGGTGTTCTGGGAAGCCCGCAGCACAGAACCTGGGTAGTGAGTACTGGGCACACAGACATAGCTCTGTTCCCACTAACTGCCTGCATCTGGAGTCTCCGCATGGACATTGCGGGGTGCTCCGAGAGCTGCTGGAACACAAGCACCTCCTGACCCTCAGGTGATCACATGACAGCTGCTTTCTTCGTCCACAGAACCAGTCTCAACCTCAGAACCTCAAATGTGGGCAACTTCGACGTAAGTACCATGCTCCAGCCTCAGCACAAGGTCTGGGGACAAGCCAGGATGGGTCCTCTGGGCATGTCCTTCCTGGAAGGCTGGCTGGGTCTGGGTTGGCGTCAGCACCACCAAGCCTCATTTTACAGAGGGACAGAAGGAGAATCTGAGGCCCACAGAGCCAGTGAGGGGCAGAGGACAGACTCAGGGCTTCTCTGCCTGTGATGCTGCCTCCTTTTACCTGGCACTTCAGGAGGCAGAAGCCTTGTCATGTGGGACCCTTTCCTCCTGGAGCCAGGAGGCCGCTGACTCCTGCGTGACCCCGAGCAGCACTAACCCGCTCTGCGCCTCGGTTTTTTCATCTGCAAAACAAGCAAGTTTGAAGTGTCTAACCTCCTTGCTTGCCCCTTGCTTCTGGAATTCTCTTCCAAGTGTCTAGGAATCTGAGACTCTCACATACGAGGATGTGGTCCTATCTCATCTCTGTTCAGTCTTGAGTCCACCCAAGCCTTCAAAATACTTGGATTTTTTAATTTTTATAAGTTGACGACTAAACAGTTGCCTGTTTTCCTCAACAAGCTTCAGCAGGAGCTCCGCACATGCAAGAAAGCCAGATCCACCCACTCACTGTGTGGTTTGTGTGTTGGCCTCTCTCACCCAAAACCCGCAGCTGTGGGGTGGGTACCGCCAGCTCCATGCCAAGGTGGAAGCGGCCACATTCTTCACAGCAGCCGAGGTCAAGCAGGGACTAGAGCAAGTCTTGGACTCCGAGTGGGGAGAGGGCTGGACACTCAGTGTGATGCGGATGAACACTCGCAGGACCACGGGACATGCCAGGCAACACCGTCCGCTTTCTCTTCTCATTGAATCCTCACGACACTCTTGTGGTCTGGACCCCATTTACCAAGTGAGGAAGCTAAGCTCAGAGATGTTGCAGGACCTGCCCAGGTCACAAAGTTGGAAGAGGCCTCCTGGGAAGCGAGTCCCACGGCCTCATCTATGCAGATCTAGAGGGCAGGCAGCGTACAGATCAGAACTCGTGCTGGATTTTCATAACCTCCCTGTGAGGTGCAGATGCAGAAACCGAGGCTCAGACAGGTCAAGGGAGACACGATATGGGAAGGCTCAGGGTCAGTCATTTAACATGAGCTACTTGTCACTTCACTGCACCCTTGCAAGCTGGGCTCACTCACTGGGTTTGCAGCTGAAGAAGCTGAGGGTCAGAGGCCTATGGCTGGGACGGGAGGGACAGGCCACCCTGGACCCGAGCTCTATCCTCCAGGGGAAGAACTAGGCCTACCTCAGTCCCTGCGTCACAGCGGCGTTGGACCAGTGCCCGTCCCTCTGGGCCTCCTCCTGCCCATCTGTCCAAGGAGCAGGCGGACCTGGTGCCCCCTGGGGCTGTCAACTGAGTGATCCTGGAGTCCGGGGCTCTGACTGCCAGAACTCCTAGACTCCCCTAGGCAGCTGTGTGTCTTCGTCCCAGGCTGGGGCAGATCCTACAGGGCCTTTGAGCTGAGCAGCCCCGCCTGGGCTCAGTCCTCATTCTCCGGCTGCAGGTTGGCCTCATGGAGGTGCTGGTGGAGAAGATCTTCGACCTGGCGTTTATGCCCGCGATGAATGGTGAGAGCGTGAGAGTGGACGCCTGTGCCTCCCCAGGGGGTGTGGGTCAGGACTGGGGTGCTGGTTGCTGAGGGTGCTGGGCCTGCAGCTGCACAGTGCTTCTGAGAACAGGTTTAGGTGTGTTGATTTCAGCCTGTAAATGCGAATGTCGCCCCCAAAGTTCCATCAGCTTCCTTATTTACTTCTTTCTTATTTGGCTGTTTGTTTCATTTTTCTATTAGTCTATGAAAATTCTGATTATATGTGAAAATTACATGCATGCAAATTTTAGAAAGTACAGAACAATTTTTCTTAAGTCTCACCTCCCAGAGGCAATGAATTTCAATATTTGAGTATATTTCCTTCTAAACTCTTTTCTCCCCTTTTTTTTTTTTTCATACGATCAAGGCATTTCCTGACTTATGCTTATGTATTCATCTTAATGGTACAGAGAATACATGAATCCTTCTTAGTGTGAAAAATCCAGCCAGCGCAGATAAATCTAAAGTCTCCTTCCCGACACCTAGCCTTCCAGTGGAGTCTGCCCCAGGCTGACAGGGAGGTTTTCTTGCCTGACTCTGTAAATGGAAGAAACTGAGCATGCTTTCTTCTCCATGGCCTCTCGGGCGTGTTATCAGGAAGGTTGCTTACTGAGTCGTGGGGGTCACCAGGCCAGCACAGCGGCTCACACACTGCAACCAGGAACCTCAGTTCAGGCCCCAGGCCACTCAGGTCCAGCCTCGCTTGCCCACTTCCTCCTGAAAGAGAGCACAAAGGGAGCTGGCATGTCCCAGCCAGTGCCACTAGCTCTACAAGCCGGGGTTCTCTTGGAGAGAGCTTGACATCAGACAACCCCTTATTCTGGGATCCATCGACAGAGGAGGGGAAAACACGGGTTCCCCAGGGAGAGAAGAGGGCTGACTGGCCTGGGGGCTGAGGGATGGTGGTGCATGTCTAGCACGGTCACCAAGAGTGGTATGAGCTTGGGGGCAGGTCCTTTAATCTAGCTGAATGCAATTTACCATTTTCAAAGGCGAGAGATTAGACTAGGTCTGTGATTCCCAAAGTGGGTTCCATAAGACATAAGTCCTACAAAATATCCTGAGAAAAGTGTTCTGTGACCAAGCTCGAGAATTCACAGGTCCACAGCTCTCCAGAAAACCCTGCTGGAATTGAGAATCTGTGCAACTTCACTGATTTATTTCCCCACCCATCCTCTCCTCCCGCCATCTTCCTTTTCTTCCTTCCTGTTTTCTTTCTAGAACATTATTAGAGGGTCTCCTTAGGCTCTGACAGTCTGAGAATAGCACATCCCAGCACAACAACTTGTCAGGGCCCATATGCATCTTTCTGTTACTTCACCTGGCAAGCGCTGGTCCTCTTCCCTGACTGGCCAAGGGCCGGGTGCTGTTAGGGACCCCGACTCACAACAGGGTAGGGGCTACAGACACAGAAGCAGAGTCCATATTTTTTGATTTTTCGAATGGAGGAGCTTGGAGGTGGTGTGGGTGTGGCAGCAGCCTACAACAGCTTGGCCTGGGGCCCAGAAAACCTTGCAGAGGAGGGGACTGCTGAGTCTCGGGGCAGGCTCAGAACCCACCCTGGAGGCCAGGCAAGGAGCGTGCTTCAGGCCAGAGGAGCTGCCAGGCTGGAGGCATAGAGGCATCAGAGGATTTGCCAGTCTCCTTGCACACATGGGCGGTTTACGGCAAGACTGGCATACCTCTTGCCTCGACCACGTGTGACCAGCTTTCCTTTCCAGCTGTGCTGGGCTCCGGCATCCCTCTCCCCAAAATCCTCAACATCGACTTCAGCAACGCAGACATCGACGTGTTGGAGGTAAGGAGATAGGGCTCCGTTGCTCCCCCTCCCCACCTTTTGCCCCTCAACTTAGTGATTGGGAAGAAGAGAAGGAGGCAGCGGGAGGGAGCAGAGGCCTTTTTCTTTAAGCCCAAGGCTGAGGCAACACACAACAAAGCTGTTGAGACTCCTTGGAGGAAACCGTCACGCCACAATCTTATTTAATCCTCACTACGGCCACCACTGCTCCCATCAACAGATGGGAAGAAGGAGGCTCAGAGAGGCCAAGGGCTTGCCCGAACTGGAATGTGCTGTAGTTCACGGGAGTAGCTTTCACTGAGCATCTACTGTGTGCCAGTCGCTGCAAGCCAGTTGGGGATGTGTACAAGCCCCACCCGCTGCTCTCCCATGCCAGTGGGGAGATGGGCCTGGGGTAAACATTCCCGAAGTAAGTGGCTAATTGTAATCAAGACAGGCTCCTTAAAGTACAAGTGCAGAGGCTCTTGTTTCCACTATGAAAACCACCTGGGTTCAGTATCTGAAATTTGGAAAACACAGAAAAGATTCAACAAACACACAGGCATCCTCCTAGATGCCTGTGCAACCCAGAAATTACTCCTTGGAATTTTGCTGCTTCTTGTTCCAATCTTTCTGGAATTTTATTTTTAAAGACAGTTTTGCTCAGAGAGAGAGCATGGGGCTCAAGAACAAGGGTTTGGAGCCCAGCTGTCTGGGTTCAAGTCCTGCCTCTGCCACTTTCCAGGTGGGTGATTCTAGGCAACCACTTAATTTTTCTGAGCCTCAGTTTACTTCTCTATAAAAAGAGACTAACCATAGTACCTACCCATGGGGCTGCTTTTAGGATAAAATGCATTGCTCTGTGTGAATGCCTTGCAAGCCTGGCACGTAGTGGGCATTCTGGAAGTGTCCACTGTGATCACAGTAATAAAGGATGCTGCAGTGAACATCTTGGTGCATAAAACTGTTTCTGGAGTCAGGATTTAGTCTCTCAGAACACACTACTGGAAGCGGGGTGAAGGGTCCTTTGGTCAGATTGACAGCCGTTCCAAAAGCCTTTACCCACTTGCCCTGCCATCAGCGTGTGCAGAACACCCAGCTCCTCACTTCACTGCCAGCGTGGACCCCGGGCCAGGAGCAGCCCTCCCGCCACAGGAGGGAAGCAGTCCAGGACTGTGACGTTGGATGGCCAGTTCAGGCAGGGTCAGGTGCAGCTCTAAGACAGTCAGGGGTGCCTGTCCTGGCACTATCTCTTGAGCTCCTGCAGGACCTCAACACTGCTCTGAGCCTCAGTTTCCTCATCTGAAGAGTGGGATAGTCATACCCACTTCATACAATTTGCAGTGAGAACTGAAATGAGATACAGCATTTTAATATCAAGTGTTACTATTTGCTTAAGTGGGTCAGAAGACATGACCATCATCACCATTGCCTGCCTACTCACTGGGCGTGATCTGTGCCCTGTGCACTGCTTTACATGGGAGCAGCCTCACCACAGCCCTGGTGAGTGTTTTCCCTTGCAGAATAGCTGAAGGACCTGAGCATCAGAGAGGGGAGGCCACTTGCCCAAGGTCACCCAACGGGTGAGAGGTGGGGTCTGCAATGAAATAATGTGAAGCAACTCAAGCCCATGGCTCTCAACGGGGCTATGCTGTCCCCCTCCCCCCGGGGCCCTTCTGAAATTGGTCCGGGTGCATTTTACTTTCCTGAAGGCTTGAGTATTTTCATCTCAAGATACATATTATTTGAGTATAAATGCTTGCCTTTTACTTCTCCTTTATATTCCAGTAAGGAATATGGGCTTTTTAAAATACAAGGGGGACCCCCCAAAAGCCCAGAATTATCTTTTGGAGGGTGAGCCCCTCGTGGTACAGGCTTTCTCCACTAGGTAGGTGTTCTAGAAACCCATTGGCATCAGCGTACCAGGTAGTGTTGTTGTGAGAGGCTGAGTTTGGCTTCAGGGAAATTTTTTTGGAGATTTTTTCAACGCGTTTGCCCATATCATGATGGGTGATTTACAAGCACACCTGCCCACACCAAGCTGAGTGTGCAACAGTTTGTAACAAAAAATGGCCTGACCCCTGTGCCTCACCCTCCCTATTCACCCAATCTCACCCTGAGCGACTTTTTTGTTTCCCCGAAGAAAAAAGTCCTCAGGAGAGACATTTTGTGGAGGTGGAAGAAGTGAAACAAAAAAATGGCAGAAGCACTAGAAGGCATCAAAATTGACGAGTTTAAAAAATCTTTTGAGCAGTGGAAAAAGCTGCATCAAATGGAGAATACTTTGAAGGTGACTGAGGTTTAAACATGTAAGAATAAATACACAATTTTTTAAATAAGTAAATTCCAGATTTTTGGGGCTCTCCCTCATATATGTATAAGGAGTAATAAAGGAGATAACACAAATACCCATAATGTAAAATGGGTTAAAGCAACCCTCAGCCGACACTTGGCCTTGTAACTCCTGTCAACGGCAGCAGTTCTCCTTATTATGATATGGGTCTTGTCATTTATTTTCACTTTTTAGAGTTACAGAAAAGTTGCAAAAGTAGTACTGAGTATTCCAGAATATGCTTTTCCCAGCTTCCTCTAATGTAACCAGAGTATGATGACCAAAACCAGGACAGAAACACTGATGCAAAACTATTAACTAATCTACGGATTGCATCCACCAGTTTTCCCACTGTTGTCCTTTGTCTGGCTCAGGATCCAGCCCTGGCCTCCTTCGTTTTCGTGTCCCATCTCCAAGGCGGGACAGCTCCTCCCCTTTTCCTTGTGCTTCACAGCCTTGGCTTTTCTGCTGGGATGTGCCTCCGTTAGCATCTGGCTGGCGTTTCCTTGTGATGGGATGGAGGCTCTGCAGTTTTGTCACGAGCACCACAGAAGTGAGGTGGTGCCCCCCCCAGTCTGCTCCATTGGAGCATCTGATGACCACATGGCCTATTTCAGGAAATGTTCACTTTGTTCACTTGCTTAAGGTGGTTCCTGCCAGGTTTCCTCGCTGTAAAATTACTGTTTTCCCTTTGTAACTGAAACAGAGCTGTGGTGAGGTACTTTGAGACTATGCAAATATCCTGTTTCTCATCATGCTTTCTAGCATTTGACATTCATTGATGGTGTTTGGGGGCAGTTGTCATTACGGTGGTGTTTGCCTTGTGGTAGCAGTCTATGTCTGTAATTTCTTTTACAAGTATTAGTTGGAATTCTGCTGTAGGGAAGAGCTGTCCTTTCCCCTCCGTGTGCTTATTTATTTACTCATTTTGTTCTACGGGCCACACTTTTATTATTTATTTTGTTGAGAAATGTTTTAAATTATGAAAACTGGACTTTGGAGGACTGTGGTGAGGCCTCGGGCCTACTTCTCTAATTTGGGGAAGAAGGAGACAAGGGCAGGGAGGGACGTGTGTTGCCTAAGGTCCTCAGTACAGGGTGAGACCATGACACGATCAGGTGACCCTCAAGTCCCTGGGACCCCATTCATCGCCGCTGTTCAGAGTTACTTTTTCCCAGGAACACGACTTGCCAGAGTCAAAGGCAGGCATGTGTCTGGCTGAGGCTGTAGTCAGAGCCTCCCCACCCACTCACTGAGTTCTCTGTTCTGCCCTTCAAGGACCTTCTGGTGCTGAGCACATGAATGACAAGAGGCAGAACCCACCGCAACCGGAAGAAGCTGGAGCCAGCCCTGGAGAGGCTCAGCTGGACACGGTCTCTGGCTCTGAGTCCCTTCAGCCTCCATGTCAGGACCCTACGTAACCCTCTACCCCTCTTTCCCACTTGCCCCCACCCTGAGGAAGGATCCAGCCACAGCCCCATTGGCAAAAAATCCCATCGGTGGTCAGCCCCCAGCGAGAGGATGGAAGTCACCCTGGATACTGGCCCCATGCTGACACTATGCTGCTTTACACTTTCAATAAAACATTCCACTTTCTCTGCAGTTGGGGTGAGTTCCATGAGGGGCACCCCTCAGGGTCTCTGTGTGTTTTTGACTTTTTTGGCTACTCTGCGGCACTTAGCAGTTGTAGCCAGTGAATGGTCCCTCTGTCAGACAGTGAGGGGAGCAGCCAGGCTCTTCATATTAAAAACAATCCATGGCAGTCTACAGAAAAGCTCCTGCCAGCAGGGCAGCTTATACATCACTCATCTCAACTCTGGCATCAGGAGGTCATTAAAGAGCAAGAATTTGGGATAAAGAGGATGGGGTTCAGATCCCAACTCTGTCACCCGATTGTGTGACTTGTCAAGGTCCTGAGCCTTTCTGTACCCGTTTTCCCCTCAATAAAATGAGTAATAATAATAGCAGTTATTATACTCTCAGATGGGTTTGAGAATATTAAATAAGATATTTTTTCTGAGGTGCTTAGCACTGAGGCTGGCAAGAATGCTCAACCTGTGCTCCCTGTAGTGTGTAAGAGTTGGCTGATTCCTGAAGTGTGAGCCTTGGGAACTCCTGGACTCTTGTCAGAGCTAAACAAGGAGGGGCCCGTGGCATGTCCCTTGGTCAAGACAGGGCTCAGAGCCCCACTCCCACCCCCGCCCCCTGAACAAAGGCAGGGGCTGCTCTGAGACAGCTCACGTCAGCCTGTAGCGCCACGGGCGCATTCAGGGAAATTAAGGGGAGTTGGTCTCAGTCTCTGGCCTGGAAGGTGTGCAGAAATGTTGAGGTCCCTTTTACAGAACTAAGATTTTTTTTCTTTGAATGATTTTGAAATTTTTTTTCGCGTCTTGTTTTATTTTGCTTTACCATCAGGAAGCTAAGCTGCTGAATTGTCTGGTTCAATATTAGGCTCATGGCTGCATCCTTCATCCATTCATTCATTCACTCCTTCAAGTGTTTGGGGTACAGTACTGGAAATTCGACACTTGACAGGAGAAAGGAGGCTTCGGTCCTGTGAAGCTTGGAGTCTAGTCCTCAAGACACATCTTAAGTAATTAAGGTCTAAGTAAACAAACGCTGGCATTAAGTAAATAAACGCAGAGACTATTTGGAGGTTGTCTTGAGGGCTATAAAGGGGACAGACAGACACGTGGGGCGGGGGCGGGGAGAGGAGGCACCACTGGGTGGTAAGGAAGGGCCTCGCTCGGGAGGAAACACGTCGTCGGAGACCAACCTGGGGGCCTTCACCGTCCATCACCTTCCCTCGCGGATCCGCGGTCCTGGCCTCTCCGGGTCTCCTTGGCCATGCCCGGACCCGCGCCGGGGGGAGAGAGGTGGGGAGGCGGGCGGAGGGCGGAGATGAGTGGGGCGGGACTTCCTGTCCAGCCGGCTCCGGAAGGCCAGGAGGGGCGGAAGTCCCGCCCTGAGGGACGGTGCTTGGGGAGGGCCTTGCGTCGCCGTCATCGCTGCGCTCGCTCTCCGGCCCGTGTGTTGGACCCACCCCGCTGTAAATCCTCGTGAGTTCATCCCTCTGCTTCCATCTCGACTCCATTCTGGTCTCGCTCCCACCATTCCTCTCTGGACCGCTGCTTCGCCCCCCCCCGCCCTCCTTCTCCATTCTCTGCGGTAGGAGGGTTAGGTTTTGAAAACCGGAAGTCCAGTCTCCTCCGGTCCCCGGCTCCCTTCCACGGTCGTCTCGTGGCACCCAGAGCGCAGCCCAGACCCTCACCGCGGCCGCCAGCCCCGTCGCCCCGCGCCCCCCGGAGCCTTTCCGAGCGGGAGTGCCTCCCCCTCCCCTGGAGGCCCCGCGCCCCTCCAGCCGGCCGTATTGACACGCCCACACCTCGCAACACGCTGGGTTTAGTCTGCTCTTTAACTTTTGAGAGAATTCTGGGACCTCACAGCAGTGTTTTGCATTATAAAGAACTCATTTGATTTTCCAGTGGCTATGTTTTCTCAAAAATCAAATCGCCTGCTCCTGTGTCAGTCTGTCAGTCAAATTCCAGAGGCTGCCTGGGCAACGTGCCAGACCTGATCTCTACAATAATTCGAAAAGTTGGCTGGGCGTGGTGACACGCACCTGTAGGTCCAGCTACTTGGAAGGCTGAGGCGGAAAGATCGCCTGAGCCCAGCAGATCGAGGCTTTGGAGGCCGTGAGTGTGCCACTGCACTCCAGCTTGGGCGACAGAGTGAGACTGTGACTCCAAATTAAAAAAAAAAAAAAAATTCCAGTGGGAGAGGTGGGAAAAAAAGTTTCAGAGGCAGAAAGCTGGGAGAAGTAAGGAGTTTTATTCTGATTCCATACGATCAGGGAATGTGCTGTGTATCAACCAAAAACCTGTTTGTTTAAACAGAGTTTTCATCCATTATTTACAATGAAAGTTACTTATCTTTTTCCCACTCTTGATTAATAATGGCTAAGTGTCTTACGACCATTATTGAGTTTCTTTCTTAGTGCTTAGACCCCAAACAGCTACTGTCACAAACCGGTGCTCAGATTACATCAATCCTGCCATTCTTCTAAATTACAGTTACCTTGAACAATTTGGAGCGTTGCACTTTCTAGCTGGTTACAGTTCTTCGCTTATTCCGGGAGATCTGGTTCACAAGGCTTGATTAAATGTTATACATGAGGTCACCCCTTCAGGTCCCCTCCCACTGTGGAAGCTTTTCTGTTTTCTCAATAAATGCTACTTTCTCTCCTTAAAAAAATTACATAAAATTAATAAAAGACATGAAAGAAAGCAGTTGTCATTTAGAGACTAAGGGAACAGATACATTTATGGGTTTTAGAAAGTTTCAACAGTGCCCATTTCTTATCTAGGTTTAGCAGGGTTTTTTTTTTTTCCAGGGACATGAAGTTGTGTGTGTGTGTGTGTGTGTGTGTGTGTGTGTGTGTGTGTGTGTGTGTCTCCTGCTTATCAGGGGACTCAATGAAGATGGTTGTGTTCCCTTCAGTACCAGCAACAGTTACTATATCCAAGGACAGTGAAGGTGGGACAAAGAAAAATGTTCACTTTTAAATTCAAACGACTTCTACTTTAGCCCTACTAAGTCTTTTTTCTAAATGACTTTTGATATAACCAAAATGGCCTCTTTTAGCCTGTAACACATGCATTCTTGCAAAGTGAAAAAAACTGATTCAGTAGAGCAGGGAAGGAGGAAGAGACTGGGTTGGGTCAGATGAGAATTCGGCCAGAGCAGCATGGCGGCTAATGATGATAGATAGCCTGGAAAGCTTGGGCTTCTGGGAAGAGGGGTGGGGTGTGAAGGGGTTGGTTTTGCTGATTTAAGAAAGGAGCTTCAAGATCCGCCTGATGGTTCAGGCCTCACCACACTGCTTCCACCTGCTGCTCATTAAAGCTGTCACTGCATCTTGAATTGACAAAACCAAATGAATGGTGGTTTTACATTTAAACGCAAGAAAACTTCACTGGGCATCTTCAACAGTTTGGAACAGCACAGAGGTCTCCATGATGACCAAGGATGCTCTTCAAAGTTGCAGGGTTCCAGCTGTGTGAGTGCCAGAGGCTCCTGGATGCCCTGCACGGCAACAGATTTCACAGTAGAATACACAGTGAGACTTCTCATGTACCTCCGCTGATGTCCCAATTCAGTTGCAGAGGACAAAGAACTCCATCAGCCTCTTAAGTAACTCACTTAGATGTTTCTGCTACTAATCCTGAGTAGCAAACTCCAAACAATGTCTCATGCCTGTGATCCCACGACTTTGGAAGGCTGAGACGAGAGGATTGTTTGAGGCCAGAGGTTCGAGATCAGCCTGGGCAACAAAGCAAGACCTCACTTCATCCTCATCGTGTAGTGGCATACTCCACAGCTGTTGAAGAAGACATTTTACTTACATCAGCACATGAAAAAGGAGTTCATAAAACACTGCGCAGAGTTTAATCCCATTTTTATTTGGGGGAAATCTTACCCAAGTTTACCTGTGTGTGCATAGAAAACTGAGAGGAGGTATACCATCATTTTTAGGGGGTTTCTCTCAGAGGGTGATGTTAATTTCTTTTCTTTTTGTAAATCTGTATTTTCTTTGAAAAATTATCACAGAAGGTATTTTAAAATAAAAAAGAATTTACCAGAGGGCACCAAACCCACCCATTCACTCTGGAGCCTGCAGCCAGGCACTACGCCGGGGCCTGCCCTCGGTGTGGCCCTCACTGGTGTCAGCACCCCCAGCCTGAGAGCCTGAGTATGGACTTCCATGACCTCTTCTCCTGCCCTGTGCATCCCCATGCTCCTGGTCACGGTCTTCTGAGGGTGACCCGGGAATCCTCGGGTGAGAAGAACCTCGTGCCTTCTAATGTTAGTGGGTTGGTCTTTAGTTCAGGCAAAGCATGAGGGGGAGAAGTGACATCCCAAGTTCAAATCAGATTTGACAGAGAGGAAGAGGAAGGGGAAGGAGCCATCTCTTATTAAGGGCCTGGTGAGGGCGGGGAGCAGTGCCGGACACTTCCCATTCATTGTCCCGTGGACCCTCACAGCTGTCCCGGGGGACACAAATTATTATCCTTCTCAGAGGAGGATGTGAAGCTCAGGGAGGTACGTGGCTTGCCCAGGTTCACACAGCAGTACGTGGAGAAGCTTGGGCGTGGCCCTGGTGTACGTGGCCCTGCTGTCTTTCACTTCCCCACCATGAATGAAGTGTAGGTGGGAAGGACCAGAGGATTTGGAGAAAGGAAGAGTGACTATAGTCTGATCACAACAGCTGAGTGACAGGAGCTGGGGCCGGTAAATTGGTG